TGAAGTTCAAGTCGTGGAATTGATACTGGCTTCAATGGGGCTACTCTCGATTTTGACATGACAAAACATATGCGCACTGATTTTTCGGTCTCAATTCTCAAGTAAGCTACAGCCGCATACGCTTGAGAACTTGCATCACAAAACACGTGCAATTGTATACTTTTGATTTCAAAAATATTTGCGAGATAACAGCGAGGAATCGATAGATTAGAAATATTTTCAATTTGTCTAACCCATTTCCTCCACTTTTTCATCATTTCTTCATTGAGTTCATCATCCCAACCGATCTTAGAACGCCATATAGTCTGAAGCAGAATCCTTGCTTTCACAGTGAAATTGTTTAAAAATCCAAAAGGATCAAAAATAGTCATTACAATTCTGAGCACTTCTCGTTTTGTTACATGACTTTTTCCAGAAAAATGTCTTAGATCATGTTCACTCCATTTAATAGCAAAAGAAAAATTGTCATCATTAGGGTTCCAAAATAATCCCAATACTTTTTCTATGGGTAAACATGAATCTTTTCCGAAATCCATCTCTTTTGCGCCAAGATTTCTATATTCTTCAGGGATACTACGCAGTACTTCTTTGCTGTTGCTGGACCAGTTTCGAATTGTGAAGCCTCCTTTTCCATGAACTTCGATGACTGACGAGACTAACAGTTTGGCTTCTTCTATAGTGTCTACGCTGTCAAGGTAATCGTCAACGTAGTGATGTTCTCTTATAGCTCTCTCTGCCCCTGGGAAAGTATCTATAAATTCAGCTGCGTTTCTCCTCATCACAAAGGTTGCAGTGCATGGCGATGAAGAGGCACCGAATATCATGGCAACCATTTCAAATTCTTGCGGCTCGCTGCATCTCTCTCTACCCCTCCACAAGAATCGCTGAGCTGGTCTGTCTTGGGGTCTGATATGGATTTGATGGAACATTTCCATGATGTCTGCAGTGAAGGCTATACGTCTCTGTCTGAATTTGAAGATAACACCCAGTAAAGAGTTCAATAAGTCTGGACCTTTCAAGAGATAATCATTCGAGCTTTTTCCACAGGTTTTAGCTGCTGCGTCGAAAACAAACCGTATTTTTCCCGGCTTATTAGGATTCGATACAGCAAAATGTGGTAAATACCATATTTTTTCTTTTTTTGTACAAATCTCGTCTTTGGCCAATTTTTTGGCGTATCCCTTAGTCAAATATTCCGATATTTTCTTTTCATACTCTTCAGCAAACTGAGGATTCATATCCATTTTCTTCTCGATTGACTTGAGCCTCTTCATGGCCGTTGTTTTGCTGTCAGTTAAGCACAAATCTTCGTTTTTCCACAATAAACCAGATTCCCATCTTTTTGGATTGATTCTTCTTGTTGTACGGTCCAAAATTTCGAGCGCTTGGCGATCTTCTGAATTTTGTAAATTTTCATAATGTTTCACACCTAGATTTTCGATTTTGAAAGAATTTCTGACGAGTTCATCCAAATCATCACGTTCGTGTTTCACAAATAGAGAAAACTCTTCATCAGAACGCCCATTATAATTTGTACAGATGCTACCATGTATTACCCAGCCTAATTTCGATTTTGATAGTACAGGTGCATTTTTACCGCCTTCGAAAACTTCTCTGGGTATAATCAAATTTATATGATCTTGGCCAATTAGAATCGATGGTTTAGCAGCATTAAATGATGGCAGGTTGATTTGTTTCAAATGATCCCATTTCTTCTTTAAATTTTTAACATCAACTGACTGTACAGGAAGAGACAAATTTTCAACTGTTCTCACATTGTTCATGACATATTCTTCATTTTCATTCTCGCCTCGTATTTTAATGGAAACTTTTCTGGAATCTTCTTCTTGACAGGTCATTGAATTCGTCCAACGAATTCTGAGTGGTTCAGTAGGTCCCACCGCTCCGATTTTTTCAGCCAACGTGGCATCCATCATGGTGACTGTGGAGGCTTCATCGAATAGGGCATAAGTTTTCAATTTTCCATTTGGACCACTCACTTCAACTGGTGCAATTCTCAATAGAACCTCATTTATTTCACAGCCGTTGACACAGTGATTTGTTTGTTCTGCTTCATTGCTGGTATTTTCTTTGTGTAACAAAGGGTTATGTTTGAAAATACAACCATTGATTCCACAATTTCCCTTTTGACGACATAGCTTTGTTTGATGTGAAGAAGTTAAACAGCTGAAACAAACTTTGTTTTGTCTAACCCAATCCCAACGGTTTTCAATATCCAGTTTTTTAAAGTCATTGCATTTTTCTACTTTATGGCCATCTTTTTTGCAGAATTTACATTTGTATACTATTTTTTCATTTTGCAGAGATGTAGTGCATACATATTTCTTCTTTCGTTCTTGTTCTTGGTCAGGGATATAGGCGTACATAGCAGCTTCACTGATTTCTTCTAACCATTGCGAGAATTCTAGAATATTGACTGGATTTTCTTTCTTATTGCATCTTTTTCTTTCAACGATTCTTTTACCCCATTCTATTTTCAATGTTGTAGTCAGCTTCTTGGTTAGATCATTTAGAAGTTGAGGATTACAAAGATATTCTTCACCTTTCAAACTGTTGATGGTGACTGCTACATTTTGTACTTTATTTGAGAAATCTAGAATGTTTTCTATTTTATCTTCTTTTAAGCTGGGAATCTTTAGAGCCGCGTCAATCAAATCTTGAATGATCGTCTCCGATCTACCGAATCTTTTTTCCAATGTCTCAATTATTTTGTCAACTTCTTGGGTGAAGCTTAGTAGGGCATTCACTGACTCTTTGGCTTTACCTTTCAAGCTTTTCTGCAGGCGGATAATATTTTCTGTATTAGAAAAACCACAAATTTTCGTTGACTCCTTGAATTGCGTGATGAAGGTCATCCACTCTCCAGACTCTCCATTAAACACTGGAAGATCTTTGTTGAAAGATTGCCTAGCCATAAATTGATTTATTTTCAACTCTGAGAGTGTATTTATATCACGATTCAACACAGGATCAATATTTTTTATATCCACTGCAGATGAAACATTCGCCTCAGGATGTACTGAGTTCACCCACTGTTGTATGTAAGAAGACTTGGAAGTAACGGTTTCGATATCTTCTTCAGTTTCCTTATCGTCGATAGAAGAACCCTTGCTGGATTGGTATTGTTCTTCTAGCTCTGCCTTTTTCAATGCAATTTCCTTTTCAATTATGTTTTTGTCGATCTCAGCTATTTTCTTTGCTTTTTCTACCTCTAGTTCCAACTGTTTTCGCCTAATAGTACTCTTTTTAGACTTGTTTGTTGATATGGAATGCGTATTTCGTTCAGATTGACCCATTTTCGAATCTGTTTCAGTTAACTTTTTCGTAAGTTTTTCATCCTGTTTTTTACATAAAGGATTTTTTTCTGTCACATTCTCTATGGCAACTTCACTTTCCGTCATATACCTAGCTGGTATTTTTCCCTTTGTTGTCCTTTCACTCCTTCTTAATGGTAGAGACCTGGACATCTTCCACGGACTGATTATTATGTAGATAACTCGAAGGACCACTTATGTATTTGTCTGTAGTTGACTTCCGTTTGAAGGTGGTTTTATTACCCTTTTTTTATAAGTATTTCCAGCGACAAGACAATACACTTTATTTGACTTTTATTTTTATTATTGACAACTGTCTAACGAAAATACATGGTGATTTGCACCCAAAAATATATACAATATGATATTCAATAACAAAATCCTTATCGTTTGTCCAATATTCGTCGTGGCATATAGCCAGGAAAGTATGTAAAGGTTTTCTGTTGAATAAACCGAGAAAGAATTAATATTTTCATCACATGGAGAATGCGAATTCTCAATGTATTTTTTTACATACATATATATCCATTTTTTGTGTTCATAAATATATCTGAGAATAGTCCTTTTCAAGTTAGAAGTTGATAGTCATCTATATCTATAGATGAGGACAGGTGACACAGGGTCAGGTGTTTGATAAAATAGTTATTTATGTATCAAGGGCGTAAAGTAGGCGTTTATGGCCTGTGGCGTGAATAATGGCCCGATGGCGCTAGCCGAGGGCCATTACACGCTGAAGGCCATAAACGCATTTCACGCACGTGATACATACAAAATTTTATGCACTAGTGGTTTATTTTCTGACTCAAAAGTAATGACTATAGATTTCTATAAACTTATATTTTCCAGAATTCAATTTGTTACCTACGTATAAATTCAGTAATCAAGAGAAACATAATGTTCATGGATGATTCACATATGAAAATAACTATCGTACGGATATTGCAATCATCGTAATAGTAAAACTCTTTGATCTCTATGTAAAAGAGATTCATTCTTCAGAATTCCACAATATGCATCATATTGCATACCCAGTATATATACCTACCTAATTTTGACGTTGTCAGGCAAGCTGATGGTTGTTGTAAGTTGTTGTCTATAGCAATACATTCAATTAACAAGCTGAATTGTCATTCTTTGACTGAAAAGTTAAAATTAGTGATAATAATAATAGCGAGACTATGGAATCATATATAGAAGAAGTTTATGATATACCGCTGGATATATTAGAATCTAGGAAAATGATCATAGGTTCTTCATGAATTGATAGGTGGATATAAGGAAGCTGAGAACAGCGGGCGGTAAAGTGCACTTTACGGCCCGTGGGCTATAATGAGCCCGCGGGCGGTAAAGTGCAACTTAACGCCCGCAAAACCGGGCGGTAAAGTACACTTTACGGCCCGCTAGTGCATAATAGAATTAACAGAATCTGTTAGTATATCTGTTGCAGAGTCTGTTTCATACATGCCCCACATAAATATTCAGATGATCGATCAAATAGCATGATTTTTAAAGTCCTAGCAAATATCGTTGGGAGTCAGAATGATGGATGTAGTGTGCGGCAACTGTCGGAAGCCATTCGTTCAATTGCTCTGTTCTGTATAGCTGTCAATGTCAAATGTCATATGTTCACGTCATGTCAAGTCGATGTCAATGGGTGACAATAATAATAATAATAACCCAAACAATAACATTGTCCCATGAATCTCATGATGATATTGATATATTATGATTAAAAATTAACAAATATGTAATGATTGTAATGATTAATCTCAAATCATCAGTATATTATTGTACATAGTGTATTAATAATATCAGAAGTTCAAAATAAAGGTTCTAGAGAAATATAATTGAGCAATGACTTCATTACAAGAATGTCTTCAGATGAAAAAAGAGACTATGGACAAATGGTCAGTGCGAGAGCTCTTGTGCCTGGCCTCGGCGGTATGTCGAAATGGAGATCAAAACTGGATATCAGTCTCCAGAGCTATGAAACCCTTTGGAGAACCTAATAGACCCTCAGACTGGTTTCACCAAAAGAATTGTGCTGCACAGTATGCAACACTTCTTGGGAATGTTGATACCCCGAAAAGAAAAAAGAGAATTTCCAGTGCAGAAGCCACTGTTGATACTCCAACAGATAATATATTTCAACGCCTAGTTGCAGAGCGCCAATCTGAATTGAAGAAACTCCTTGCTGAAGAAAGAAATGAGTATCTCAAACTACAAGAGGATATGGCACTGTTACAATCAGGTACTCAAGTATTGAAGAAGTAGGGGAATAATAGCCCAAAATAATCCCTGTGAGGAAACTGATGTATTTGGTGATATTCTCTCCTTCTGAACTAAAGCAGGAACTAACTGACACATTTTACTGAAACTGAGTCAGTTGACATGCATTCATGCATTGTACCTAAACAATGTCATTCAAAAGAATGCATATTAACTGATTCAGTTCAGTTCTAGTGAAATATTTCAGTCAGTTCAGATTGGAAGAATGTCACTTTTGTTTTACTATCATCCTTTTATAATTTTCAGACATAGATAAAATATGCTTATAGCTGCTTAAACTACATTTTGTGCTTGGGCAAAATCAAGGGCAGAATGATTTTGATTTTTTTGATATATTTAGAGGTTCCTGAAGGATTCCAAGAAAACAATTTTTCTCTCAATTATTGCCAATTCTTGATTCCAACATAATATTATGTTAACCTATTTTTATCTCAAACATGATATACCAGATTTCACTGACTCATGGTATACCTCCCTTTTCTCCTATGTTTTTCTGGCTATTAGCTATATTTCTGAAATTTGGATTATCAAATATTCTCCCTAGAGGGCACTTTCTCACATTTTAGGCCAAGGTTGGTAGAACTGATGAGCCTTGCTCAGCAAAAGGCAGTGAGGGGAAGTTGAGGGGGAAGTGGTAATTCATGATGTAATCCCATTGAAAATTTCATTTCAGTCATGGGAATCTATGTTCTACAACTACCTTCAAGTATATTTACCTATCCAGCTGTGATCTAGAAATATATGTACAGTCATATTCAATAAAAAACCATTAAACATAGAAGATTTTGGCATTCTAGTTCTCCTTGTGTAAAATTGGCTCAGCCAATGCTTTGTGTTTTTGAAAACCTATGATTACTCTACTGTCAACATTTGGTAAACATTCATTCCCCATAGCCTGTTTTTCGCAAATAGGATGAAGTTAATTTCTCCCTCCGATATACTTGTATGCTTTTTTTTTAATGCGACTATACATTTCTATGATCCCAACATTAAAAATTTTGGATGGAATTATCACCTCCCCTCACCGCGTTTTCTGATCAAGGCAACCTTCCTCTACAAATTAATCATCAATTTTTCTCCCAACCTTGATTTTAAGGAGTTTTTTTATCCATCCATCCGGTTTTCCTGGAAATGACATCAATTTTATATTTTCAAATTGAACACCATGTATTTCATTTCATTATCGGTTAGGGATTATTATAACAAATTCAACAATACCCTATTGGAATATTTCAAACTATTCCATAATAATAGTAAGAGAGCCGACTGCAGATTTCTATAGTCATCTGATAAGGAAATGATATATGTCCCAAAGAAAAGTGAAAACATTATAGTTTATCAAAGGGTACCTGTGCCAATCACTATCCTGAGCAGAATTATTGAAAAATTGCACTTTCCTGTGCCGAAGTTTGCACTCGATTTCGCGATTTAATAACGAGATGATAATTATTCCATTGGATATACCAATTGAATGGTAGATCTCAAAAACTTATCTGTGCCACCCCTCAGTCTCAGCCAAATCCACGACACATCGATTTATTTGCTCCTATTTCACTGGAATCTAATCTACATGTTGAGTTTCACACTCGTCCATCGGATATTATCCTCAGAGGGGGGCGAAATATTCTCGGAAGTATTGACGCTCTGCCACTAATTCAGATCTGTTTGAATCGTGGCACGTTTCGATATTCGCAAAGGCGACATCATCCCTTTTTATTTGCTTCTTGTTTCAACTCGTTATCACATGACGGAAGTATGTCCGGAATAATAGGAGCAAATAAATCGCATTGTCGTGGATATTGCTCAGACTGAGGGGGGGCACAGGTAGGTTTTTGAAATCTACCATTCAATTTGGTATCGGATGGCATAATTCTTATCTCTTTATCAAAGCGCGAAATCGAGTGCTAATTTCCGCATAGGAAAGTGCAATTTTTTAATCATTTTGCTCAGGATAGTGATTGGCACAGGTGCCGTTTCATGAATTCGTTATCAGATGACGGTCGAAATGTTGCAGCCGGCTCTTGTGATAAGCTAAATAAGTGTGGCAGCGAAAGAAGTTCCGATATTGCCCTTTCACACTCATTGGAAACTTCGAACGCGAATGTCTTAGTAATCGTTTGAAATAACCGAATAATAACAATAATAATAACGTTTATTCAGGATTGTACATAGGAAATTGCCTTTCTTATATGTATATTTATATATGTATAGAAGTCCGAACAAACATTGAAGAAAACCACAAAGCCGGAGCTGCGCGTGGTGCATTCAATGCTGTAGAAAACTTGAAATTGGTGGAAGGATATAAAGATGAAAAATAAAGATATAAGAAAAATAATGAAATTGAAATTAATTTAGTAAATGAAGTGAATAATATGAAAAATATAAATGATGACTCGATATGCACAGTGATTTTAAATAATTACGTATGCACACAGTGCACAGTACACAGTATACCCATACATTTTGACCTAGAGTTACATACATTTAAATAAATCGCCTAGAAAAGAGAAAATTACAAAGGAATCATGTCGAGAGAATATAATATCATGATAATAATTCGTTAATAGTGTATAAGTTCATTTCAAGTATAAATATCTTCAATTTTTTCCTCAGTAAATTTTTTGAATTTATCGTAAGAACGTATTTTTGTTGTTGTTTGGGAAGAAAATTGAATGACTTCAGTGCTAAATATCTGTGACACCTTTGTCCTATTTTTTTTAGCAAGGAGAGGTGTTTTTACAAATTTTTCAGTTTTTGTCCTTGTTGAGTATGGGTGATCGATACTATTTAATAAATGTTTGTGATCGTGTATATACGTTACGAGATTCAGGAATTGGATTTGTCCGAGGATTTATCTGACTGATAATACCTTGGATTCAGTATAGAGAGCTGCGGTTAGGTAAGTAGGTTCTTTCTCAAGGATAACTTTGAGGAAACGTTTTTGTATGTTTTCTAACTTTCGTAGGTGGATGTTTGCCGCTCCACCCCATCAAACCAGATATTGTTTAATTCGTTATAATAATCCCTAACCGATTATGGAAAAAAATACACAGTATTCTGTTTGAAAATCGAAAGCTGATGTCATTTTGAGGAAAACCGGACGATCAAAATAATTTCCTAAAAGCAAGGTTGGTAGAGCTGATAATAATTTAATAATCATCAGTTCTATCAACCTTTCCTAAAGGGTGAGAAAGTGTCCTTTAGTGGGTATATTTGATGTCCCTGTATCATTCATTCTCATAGAAGCTAAACTAAATTTTACCAGACTGTGCTATTGAAACTTAAGGTCTATGTCACTGTCGAGGTCAATGTAAAAATTTCCCGCCGGTTTTCCCGCAAATTTCCAGAAACGGTCATACACTAGTCCTATATCGGTTTGTGTTTTTTACTTCCAATGTAAAACTTCATCTGTAAATTTCACATTAACAGAGAATAAGATATCGTGAAAAAAAGACCAAATGAAATTGAAGAAGAAATATACAATAAAACAAGGTGTCCGAGAACAACATATCATGAATTCTACAGGGTGAACCTCGGGGTGAACTAGATATAGTTAATCCAAAGTCAATTGGAGTGTCTCGTGCTGCAGGTGCAGACAGTCCAAAAGAAACTTTAAACTTGCCGACACCGCGCGGTGCGGGAGATGCTCCAGTCGACTTTGGATATACTATACCAAAATACATGAGTGAGTGGTAAATATAAGCCCTCATTTCGAGTGACAACGGAAAATGAAGAATCTCCACCGCCTCGCGTGAGAGTCAAACTCACAACCTATGGGTTACATGCCCAACGCTCTCCAATCGACCTAACGGGACATCCGTCGATCAATCGGCAGGGAGGTCGAGCTCTCATCCAGGCGGCAGAACCCTTCCAATTCCCGAAATCACTCGAAATCATGCACTATATGAAGTATCGCTGACAGGATGGTACTTACTATATAGTTTCCATTTTTCCCCGTTCGTCCTCTGCCATTGTCTTTCCTTGTATACGGAAATGTCCGCAAGCAATCTATACATATCAGCGAGTGATACATTTTGTCTGTTACTCGACCGAAAAATTACATATAATAATGAAGATGATGGAAAGCTCTCATTTCGAGTGACAACGGAAAATGAAAAAACTCCACCGCCCTGCGTGAGAGTCGAGCTCACAACCTCTGGTTTACATGCCCAATGCTCTGCCAATTGACCTAACGGGACATCCGTCAATCAATCAGCAGGAAGTTCGAGTTCTCATCACACACTATAATAGGCGCCAGAATCCTTCCAATTCCCGAAGTCACTCGACATCATGCACTATGTGGAGTATCGCTGGCAGGATGGTACTTACTATACAGTTTCCATTTTCCCCCGTTCATTCTCTGGCATTGTATTTCCTTGTATAAGGAAATGTCCGCAAGCAATCTATACATATAGGAGTGAATGATAAATTTTGTCGGTTACTCCAGCGAAAAGATACATACAGGGTAGGGTGTCCCGTGACTCGATGGCCATAGCTCACGGGCATATTCCTTGAACAATTTCAAGTTGAAAGTGCCTTATACACTTTTGTCTTAAACTCAATAGTTGCGAAGTTATGAGCAATTAAATAATAACTTTGCTCACCAGTAGATTTCAAGAGGTGGTCCAGTTGTTTGGCCACCGAGGTCACCTGACCCTATAATTCCTATAATCTTTGGGGAACCATGAATAAACTACTGTATTCAAATAGACCACAAACCCGGGATGAGCTGTTTCAAACTATCGACGAGCAAGAATGTGTTGTGAAGCAGCAGGGTGGAGCATTTTGAACAAAACTTAAAAAAAAATTGTGTAAATAATAAAAAGATTCTTAATTGATTATATATTACATTACTTCATCCAACATTCTTTTGAGTCATTACACACTTCTGTTAGATTTAATATTGCTCATTACTTCCTCAACTGCCGCCTGGATGAGAATTCGACCTCCCTGCCGATTGATCGACGGATGTCCCGTTAGAACAATTGGAAGAACGTCGGGCATGTAACCCAGAGGTTGTTTGTTCGACTCTCACGCGGGGAAGTGGAGTTTTTTCATTTTCCGTTGTCACTCGAAATTAGGGCTTTTCATCATCTTCATTATTATATGTATCTTTCCGGTCGAGTAACAGGCACAATTTATCACTCACTCATATGTAGGACGAACGGGAAAAAATGGAGACTGTATAGTAAGTACCATCCTGCCAGCGATACTTCATATAGTGCATGATTTCCAGTGACTTCAGGAATTGGAAGGATTCTGCCGCCTGGTGTGTGATGAGAACTCAGCCTCCCTGCATGCACATTCAGTATAGTTCATTGCCCTATGAATTTTAGAGCAGTACCTCCCAAGGATTTCAAAATATTAAAGAAAATCTGGAAATTAAATTGTTTTTCATCGCCCTCTCACGGCTCAACGGTGCATTTTCATCTTGTGGTTAATTAATTTCATTCGGCCTTCTTTGGTATCCAGCTAACCCTGTATAATTTATGGTACGTTGTTTTGGGACACCTTGTATAATGATTATCGTAACAAAAATAATAGTACATTACAAAATTTGCTAGAACACAGAGCTACCACGTGTAATACAGTTTAAAATAAGTGGATTGGACCGAACTTATTTATATAAGAAAATGTTCCGTTTATCCCTGAGACGAGTTCAAAGTTCACATTAGAAACATATTTTTGTGGTCTGTTCGGAAATGAGTGGAACAAATTGGATGAAATTTGACAAATGTACATTTCAGAGGATTGCCCTTTTTAGTTCTTTCAGTAATAGAAACCTGAAAGAAATTGTAGAAGGGTTGACACCACCTTCACCCCCTGACATTTTTATGGTTTCTAAAATCTCAAGCGACATGACTGATTGATTATCTTCATTTTGTTACTCTTGTGAAAATTTTGTATTTCGCATAGTTTTGAAGGAAAAAAATGATTTTTTAAATAATGCTAACAGATATTCCTCGAAAATGTTTGATAAAATTTTAATACAAAATTATTTGGCAGGGGAAACAAACGAATTGACATTTGTATTTATGAAGGTGGGCGGCCTATTGACCAATAATTAAAGAAAAGTTCTGCCTTTGTTTCCACTGTCAACAATATTTTTCATTATAATGATATAAAACTTTTACTAGATATATATTCTGTTAGCATTATGTGAGAAAACTTCTTTTTCCTTCGGAACTATGCGGAATATGAAATTTTCACAAGGGTGACAAAATAAAGATAATAATGAATCAGTCATCTCACTCAGAGAATTTGAGAACCGTATTATCACCCCTAAGAATGTACTGAAAAAAATTTCACACATATGATACAATGATTACACTATCTTAATACTTTGGACAAACAATAATCATAACTTATATATAAAAATTTTACATGATAGAAATCCAGTCTTGTCTTTGTAGAAAACTCATAAACAAATAGATTTCCATAACATTTTCAAAAATGAACTATACTCATCACAAACTTTATTAACTAATTCAGGCTATATTCCGAATTCAACTGGTCAGTACTGTCAGTAGATCTACTGACTCTGCTGAAAAGCTGTGTTCCGAAATATAAAATCAAAAATACAGTGCTGTAATTCGGAGCACGTTTTCATCAGTAATCAGTAGCAGTTGATCAGCTGGTGAAATTTTTCAGTTGTCATTGTTATGGCAGATGCTCCTTCTTGAGCTAAATAAATAACAGGCATTTTCTGAAATCAAAATGATATTATTAATGTATTATTGATGAGCCAAGACTTAATGTTTGGAAAACAACGGAAATGAATGTGTCATTCCTTTCCCCTCAAAAATAATGACAGTTCACTGAAGCCACACTACCTTTCGATAGTCAGCAATTTCAGCAGAATGTTGAGTCGAAATATTTGGAATGAATAGTATATCTGCTCACGAGTATCTGTCACTTTCAGTCATTTATTTTGATTTCGGAATGAAAATTCAGCAGATCCAGTACTGTCAGTTGAATTCGGAATATAGCCTCAGTAAACACTGGGTTTTCAATGTACAATTCCCAAAATATCTGTCAGTGATACTCCAAAATATTTGCATATGAGTGGTTACTCTAGTTACTCAACTAAAAAATTTTGTAATACTGTTTGATACCAACAAATATATATATTTTTTGGAATATGGTAGCTAAGTTATTATTTCAGGAAAGGTATCTGAAGAACAGTTAGATATTTGGTGCAAGGAAATTGAAGTTGAAGAGTACAAGAAAGAACAGGAATCTATTGCTCAAGCTCAGTGGTTCAAAGAAAGAGAGCAAAGAAAACAAGAAGCAGACAAAGTATGGCGTCCCACCAAGTCAACATCAATTGCAGGACAAAAAAGAAAGAATTCCGACTCGTTGGACAATCACATAGAGAGTGAACATGTGGAGGAGATACAACATCAACAGCAATTGCCACCACCTTACCCACAAACACCTGAACCAGCCAAACCTGCCCTCTCCCCCTTACTTACTAGTTTGTTGAAGTCACCCTCACAAGTACAAAACTCTTCTATACTGCACACTGCGATTACCAATCGCCATGTTCCCAATACAAATACTAATCCAATGATTGCAAGTCTACTAAACTCGTCCACTGGTGTTACGGTAAATATATACAGGGTATCCATCAGGTTAATGTATACCTTCTAGTAGGTGTTAGACGTCATTTAGAACCTAGTTGAACAAACTGATAATTGAAAAACTCAACATAAAAATGTTATATATCCCCTGAATATCCTCAATGATACTGATTCTTTATACAGTTCTCAACACACTAAATGGACCTGTATTTTTTGAAAAAATTGACCGATCTTCATGCGGTTGGGAACCCAGTTTTGAACTTGAATGTTGAAATCGAAATTTTGCTAGCAAGTAAAAATATTTCAACCACTTGAAGGAATATCAAGGATTTAGACAGTATGTGTCAATATAATATTACATTATTCACATAGCATGGTGTTGTATTTTTTGTCATATTCTATTGAAATTTGAGGTAGGGAAATATTGAAAGAATTATTTAAAGAATAAAATGAAATTACTAGAGATTATTTCCAGTCCCATGTAGGATGCGAGCCGTCAGCTGCTTTTATGCTCCTCTAATTTGCCAATTAACATTATACAAGGTGATTTAGTGGAAAACACTAAGTACCCTAAGTAGAATAGAGCTTGTGGACAAAGCCAAACTATGAATGAAGGTCGAATACATTTTTCTGTGGAAATGTCTGCTGAAATATAGTGTGTTTGAGTGTGGGTTGACATAATAGGTTTGTTCCATTTCATAATGCAGGAGACAGTATTGTTAATCAGATAATACATAATGAATTATCGAAATTTTCTATTCTAAATTTTTCCTGGGATGAAAGTTATGACTTCGGTATGTGCGCCACAAGGAGCTTCCGTGATATCCGGAATTCCTTCAGTGCCTGCTCATTTCATGAACAATATAATAATAAAAATAATAATAATATTTCTATCCACATATGAAGTGGGTACATAAAACTACGTGGAGTAGGTATTCTGTCAGACAGCTAACAAAAATTAATAGGTAGGTGAGTACACGATACTCCAGAAGTGACCGAACACTTGTTTCGAGAATGATTTAAGAGAAATACAGAGAATTATTTCAGAGAAATAAAAAATAAAAACAGAATAATTCTGAATCTCGGTCCGCTATGTCAGCCGACAGCGTTTTCAGAGTATAAATTTTTGTTATTTTTTCATAATTATTTAGCTTCATCTACAAACCCTTCTTTTTAAAGTACTCATTGCTACGTGTGACTGCTGAATCACTTATATAGAGTGAGCAACATATATTATTACCTCACTGACTATCACGTCAGAAATGTTTTCAATTTATTGGTGAATAAAATATCCCCCTCATTTTCATTACCACTAACTTGAATTACTTTGAAATTTCGTTTGTTTTCATCATTCACTCTTTGAAAAAGAACAGAAAATAAACTTTTCCAATCAAAATTATGACTAATCATGGTATGAAGTAAAAGCAATCACTTGTCATGGTAGGTATCACCTGGATTACAACAGCTAGTGAGCACAGCAATTGGCCAGGAAGCGAACAATGTGATAGACATAGATCAACAACCCTTAAGAAATGACATACTGGACGACGAAAATCTACCAAACATCAAAATAGACGATTTAGCAAATAGCATCCTGGTACAAGATGGCCCACTACCCGAAATCAAGAAAGAAGAAGTTGACGACATTATTTCAGAGATTATCGAAAATGCTCATGATATCGTCAATGATCCTGAGCAGCACCTACAACTAGATGGCAATGGAGATATAAATATCAATCTAGAACTAGACGACTTTGAAGAAGATCTGCAAGAAACAGAACAACAACAGCACCAGCAACAAGAAACGGCTGTTATGAAAGAGGAAATCCCGCAGGAGCAAAATATCGTTGAGGCCTCAGTAGAAATACCAACACCGATTACTCAACAACATTCCTCTACAACCCCACCTCAAACACAGCTATCCATAGCTCCGCCAACAGTTGTTGATCCTTTCGAGTTTCAAGAAGATCCTGTTATACATCTCGACCAATCTATCAAAGTGTCAAATATCAACAAACAAGAGCCTAGACAATATGTTCCTCATTATCAAATGCAGCAACCACCTCAAGTTGCTTCAGTTGAAGCTGCTGATGAGAAGAATGAACATGACAAAAAAGAGGAAATTAAGAAAGAGGTAGAAACAACTGAGAGTGAAATGAAAGAAAGGGATGTAGATGGCGAAAATATTACACAGAGCCAGAAAGAGCAGATAGATGAGATGAAAGAGGAGATTGAAAGTGAGGTGGCTGAACAGGACAAAGAGTTAATGAATGTGGAGCCAGAAACAATAACAGATGAGGTAAGTTTCTCACTAGTTGACATTGATATTGTCATAAAATACCTTCGAAACTTGTCCTTTAGAGGAGTTCAATCTGTTGGAATTGATTCCATCAGAAAAATCGACATTTTCCATCAGGATACCAATCATTGAGTGGCCAGCAATAATAAGTAACCACGTTACTCACGTCATGGTTGCAATTTTGTAATAACTCCAGATTCATTTCGAATTCGGGTAATAGTAAATTTCAAGGTTTCATAATAATTAACACAGAAAGAACTTGAGTGTAATCTGGATAAGGCTGGAATATTTTCTTGGGAGTCAGGAAGATGGTTCAGCTCCAAATGGGAATACTCGAGTTTTATCACAGATCGTTTGTTCATGAATGTGTTCCGTTTATCCTGACAGTTTTGCAAGGCAACTGCTTTGATATGCTAGATCCTTTTGTAGAATAAAGGAAAGTATTTTTAAGGAGTACAAGCAACATTCGTTTTTTTCTGCATCTCTTGGGCGCACGAAAGGAAATTCCTACAATGTTCGTTGAACATCGCGCTTGGTTCTATTTGTTAGATGAAACGCATTGACTTGATAAGGAGGGGTCTTCTTGAATCTTGTGGTATATTTTTTTCTTTGTTGGGTTTCTTCATGGTGTTTGGATTCACTTCAAAAAATACGAGTAGGACTAATCATAAGTGGCCATGGGCTTAGTCAATTTTCACTAAATGTGACATGGTAATCCGAACCAAATCTTAATTTTGTATATGAGATTTTGATATTGGTGCATATTTTTGTTTTTTATTCTCATTTCAAAAAATGTTGATACACACTGCATCATGTTTGTTGGAACACGTGGCATTTTAGTATTAGGATGATTTAATTTTCTACCTTGATATCAGATATATCCCAAACTCTTTCTTCTCAACTGGTAGGTATAATAGTAGGGTAGAGTTCTTAAATGTACTTGACACTGCTGTTTTGACGTTTTTTGTGGTTATGTCTGATTGTCAGTGCTTGCCATAGTGTCCGTACTCTAATATACAAAAAACGACAAAACAGCAGTGTCAAGTACATTCAGGAACTCTATAGTAGGGTACATTAATTTCTGAGAAAATGGCCCGTTTTTGTGGCACTGGATCGGTACTTCCAAATAGTGCGGTTCAAGCACAGATCAGTGGAATATAATTCGCGAGTTGGTGCGGACAATATTTTTCTTGTCGTCAGATAATCACGTCAGAATTGCTTTGTCAATCAAAAAGTTGAATTATTGATTGCAATTGAATTCACCACTTTTTGTGGTCCCTCTGTGAGCACTGTCAGCAACAGTCTCATGAATAAAGATGTTATGTTCATTGTCGATGATGTTCAATTGAATGTCGACAATAGGGATTTAGCATTGAATTGTTATTTACGAAGTTAGTATTTTTCATCATATCTGAATCAACCATTGAATGTTTTTAATATTTGCACATCTGAATAGCTTTCTATACTTGGGTCCGTTTATCTTGGAGGTTGAACTTTTGACAGAAATGATTTTTGAAGGTAATAAACTGTTCTTCTTTTGTATTCAAACTCAAATTGCTCCAGTGACATATTTTGACCAATATCGGGTAAAATAGTCCGGAAAACTGATTTTGAGGACCATGGAGCCACTTTCTCACCCATTTCCCGGTGGACTTTTTTTCAGAGGATATTCTACCCATGAACACCAGAAAATTAACAAAAAAAGTCTGGGATCTATCTGATGTCATGGTTAATACCTTCGTTTATTGGACTAATAGATCTTCGAGAAATATATTAGAGACATCTACTAGTTTATCTATCCTCAAGTAGGGTGCGGTAAAGAACTATTAAGGGTAGAAGTGCATAAATATATATTGAGTATATTTATGATATCTCAGTTAGCTTTTCCGATAATGGTTTGAATGTTTCAAGTTCTTGTGAATTCTAGAAATATAATCATAAGAATACATGAAGAAAATTATATGCAGTACAATTTGCCACAAGAATCCATTACCGACGTCACTGTGTAAGTTTTTTCAATTATAGTAATTTATAAGCTAAGTAAAGGCAAGAAAGGAGGATATGATCAGAATCGTAAAATATTCTGATGCATTTCAACGCGGTAGCTTCTAAACGAATTCTACTTGTTGACTAGTGAGTCCATAATATTTCTGGAAGTTATACCAATCACTTCATCATTTTGAAAAATACATCGAGGAAACGAAAACGATTAACTCAACTGGTGTTTATGAGTGCCATAGATGAATCATTAAGACATATTTGTATGACAACGATGGTAGATTGAAATATTTGAAAATTAGTCGAGACATTTATTTCAAGGTGCCAGAAAAATCGCTTGTTACCCCTCCAGAACCACCGAAAATAGAACGAACCTCGGTACCTGGCTCAGTTGAAATAGTGGAAGTGAATGATGGAGATGCTGAAGAAATAGACAAAGAGCTAGATAAATCCCAAATCCAGGATATAGTGCATTCCATGAAGTTGGAAGAAACACAAGACATAAAGTCTCCTATGCCAGAACCAGAAGTAGAAAAAATAAAGTCAGAAACTGAAGTGAGCAGCCCACCAGAAAGCAAAGACACCGCCTCTATAGCCACCTTTGAGGAATCTTCAGAATCTTCTGATGTGACAATGGATGTTAAGAAGGAAGTCGTGGTACAGGATGTTGTAGAAACGACGACAGTTACTTCTGATTTCACGAATGATCTTTATGATGATACCAACATGGAAGTGAAAATTGACAAGAGTGGTAAAGCAAAGAGGGATTACTCGAGAACTAAAAAGAAGGAGGAAAAAGGTTGGTTTACATTTCTTTGTATTATTTGTGTATATCTTTGACTAAAGATGTTTCTCTGAAGTAAATATTGAAATCCAATTTCATTTGAACGAGGAGAAATCAGAATGTGCCTGGTCCATCTTGACTTCAGCAGGTTCATCCAAGTTTTCCACTTCACTCAACGTTCACAAAAGAGAAATTGTAGGGTACGATAATTTTTTAAGAACCATTAAATCTAAGAGAGTTATCATATCCACGTTGTGTAAGTGCAATCAATATTATATAAAGAGAATTGCACAGAAAACGGCCAGTCCTCTACCTTCTCATGCTTTTGAGATCGGATCCTGAAATATTCTGGGAAGCAAGTATACCAAACTGCTTATTCATTGACAAGAAAATATTGGTTTTATCACTTCCGGTTTCCTCTGATGAAATTATATAGGTCGTCCTATTTAGCAGATTAGCAGAGACAACGAAGTTTCTCTCATAGAATTTTGTGGTCAATTTGTCAAATGTCTCTTGTGTGGTTCTCACCAACTTTCCTCATGTTCTTATCAAACATTCATGCTATCTATTAGACCTTTGTATGGAAAAAAGTATGGGGTAATTATTCATTTATGTATTTTATTTATTTATTAATTTATTGAAAAAAGTTCCAGTATAAGGAAGTATAGTTAACAATAATATCTAACTATACAATTATAACGTACTCATATTGGAGAAAAAAAATCAATTTGAATAGGAATCAAAATTTGGAAAAAAAAAGGGAAAAAATCTTATCTATTCCGTTCAGAAATGTTAAATTTCTGGTTATTTGTTATATTCCAACAGAATGATGAATAATGAATCTTCTTTGTCCTATAGAAGAATTAGGAAAATCAGGATGAAATACACCATGTCATTAATCTTTCAGCTGTGAGCGAGTGAATAATCATTGATACACACCAAGTCCAATCAACTCATCTTGACATATGTACTGTAGACATATTTTATGTGTAGTCGCAAATTTTCGTAAAGTGGTAGGGGGAAGTGCTGTGAATAACATACTAAAAAGTCCGGACCCTTGGAGGGGATATGGGAACGTCTGTAGGTTTCCAGTAACGAAATTTGTTAAATGCAGTTATATTTTGGGACAATTCATCTTATTTTTTCCTTACGACATATACATATATCAAAATAATACTTATTTGATCATTCATAGAAATGAGTTGGGGAAATCGTGATAAATCTAGAAAAATGAACTTGAAATCATGATCAACAAAAAAAATGTTCATGCACGCACATTTCATCCCATATCATAACTTTGTTGTAGGTTTTGACATGTTACTGGCCATTGAAAAGGCTCAACTAGAGGACAGCGAACTGACAGAAGAGAACTTTTCGGACAACACCACTGACACGGAAAAGAAGGACATAAAGATGAAAATCAAATCCGAGACGGAAAGATCGAATAGTCCTTGGACCGAGGAAGAGGACAACTCGAAGGGTGGCAAAAGGAGATACTCGACCCCGGGAACGCCTATCGATTCTGTGCCGAATTCTCCTGCTTCTAGTTTGACTTTCAACTATGAGGATGACAGGGATTATAAGAATTGGAAGAAATCTGTCATGTTGGTGTATAATAGATTGGCCACTAACAAGTATGCCTCGTTGTTTTTGAAGCCGATAACGAATGAACAAGCTCCAGGTGAGTTTTTATGTTTTGTGGTCGTTATATCTTTTTAATGTTACTGGAACCCCTGATTTTTTTATCTGTTTTCTCATTCGAAAGGTAGTTTCATTGACAATAAACGATCAAGAAGGTAAAAGTGATAGTAACATACATATGAGTAGAATTAAATGAGTGAAATACTCAAAACTAAGCGGCCACCCTTAATAATTCGATATTTCAACTGGTTGATGATAAGCTGTGTTGAAATGGGCAAAAGAAAACAATCAATAACACAAAAATATATTTATTCCTTTAATAATAGTATAAGATTCTAAATGGAGGCATCATAGATTGACACAATGTCAACACTCAAACACATTTTCATTCACTCAGGGCGGCTTGTACGAAGATGACCGTTTATAAAAATACAACATCGACAAGTGATTCGTTCTGATGCTACGATGCTAATGACCAAACCTGCTTCAATCTTCGATCACATGATGATTACGAATACCGATGAGTCGTCGAGGCCGCTTGTGATAATGCATTCCTTAGGCGTTCTTCTCAATTACCGGGTGATTTGAACATCGTCGGTTCGTCGCAAACAATAGTAATATTCACAAAAAAAATGTTTAGGGCAACTTTATAAAATATTGTCCGGTTTCTTTTTGCCGGTGAGTGTATTTAATATAAGTAGAGTCGCATTAAAAAAAGCGTACAAGTATATATTACAGAGAGAAATTAACGTCATCCTATTCTGTATAAAACGGGCTATCGGGAATGATTGTTCACCAAATGTTGACAGTAAAGTTGGCATAGGTTCTCAAAAACAAAAGCATTGGCTGAGCCAGTTTTACACAACTAGAACTAGGATCCAGAAATTCTCTCTTTTTAATACTTGTACGCTTTGGATGATGGATTTCTTTTGTTCAGAAACAAACTTGAATATTTTGCTAGAACTGAACTAAATCTGTCATCTTGAAAGGGTACAGATCATTGCTCCTTTCTCGTTTAATGATCTAGTGACTTTGGTTTTGTGTATTGGCGTCCCTGACATGACATTGTCACGTCACATTCATAGGCGTTGAAAGAAACCATCAACATTTTTATTAGTATTTAATCCTGATACAACATTCAATCCTGTTCTGGAAGGTTGGTAAAATAAGCAGCGTTAGGCTGTATCAATCAGTTGGATGGCAAATTTCGAATTTGTCAGCTTTCCAAAAAATGCAATTGATCTTAGAACATGGAAAGTGTAACCGAATTGGAAAAATAGTTGAATACATCAGCAAAATATGCGAGGTGAAACTAATAAGAAATCGTATATTATACATTCTCATTGTGCCTAATTATCCACTCCAGAGTATACACTATCATCTGCAAAAGAATGTTTATTACGAATCGAATTCACCAGAGGCGAGATAGATTCAAAGAACTGAATCAGCATCTTTTATTTCACCAACGAGCGAGTTATAAAAGTAGGTAAGAGGCCATTCTTCATATTCTTCAAGCAAAACTCATCAACGCCCATGTCGAATTACCAAAAAAAAAGATTAGAAATTCCAAAAATTAACAAACGAATGCTCTGTGACAGAAGGCGGATGACGTAATCGAAACCTGGCGTTTTTCGGAGGTACCGATTTTTAATTGATAAAAAAAGTATTCTCGATGATTTTAAAGGAGGAATATGATAGCATCAAATATTATTTATACATCGACTGTTCCATATAAAATAGGCATGTGGTGTGAATTCGATTAGAGTGTACAACCCCATCCTGGTTAATTATAACAGAGTTGGTTATGTCTTTATTGACTAGTGGTTCATGAAATGACGAAAACTACCTTGGTAGTAAACACATACTTTACGCCTTCAAAAGGAGTAAATAGCGGTATATTATATAGCTAGTGGTGAGAAATAGATCATAAGGTACTGAAAGGGACTGCAGAGGTCATTTTAGATTGATTGCGTCAACATTAATCATCACGCATTAATACGATGAAGTCGACGGAGATAATTGTCAATGAGCCCACAACAAATCTATAAGAGTTTTGAAAAGAATTGAATTTTTCAGGCTACAGCAGTACAGTTTTTCGTCCGATGGACCTCCAAACCATCAAAAAGAACATAGAAAACGGCACAATCCGCACCACGCTCGAATTCAAGCGAGACACGATGCTCATGTTCACAAACGCGATAATGTACAACAGAACCAACGAGACGATCTACAACATGGCGATGCAGATGCAGCAAGAGTCGTTGGAGCCGATCGAAATCCTCATGCTGGCAGGGAGTCGAGATGTGCCTCTAAGGAGGGAAACTAGGACTAGCGAGTCGTGTACGAAACGTAAACGTACTATAACCGATGAGGCGCTGTTGAAGTGCACGAAGAAACGCAAGGAAGATTAGCAGGAGGATTGGGATCACAATGAGGAGCTATTTTATTAGGACCTCATCTTGAGGTATTAAAGCGAGTTCAGTTGAATTGTCACTAAGGTGATGTTTGATCCAGTATTGTGGAGATTTGTCAAAACAAATTCGAATTATAAATAGTTAGGAATAAAGTTTATTTTGAAAAGTAATGTACAGATATTGTTTATTCATGTCAGAATATGCCAATAAAATTCTTTCTTTGAGTTTAATTTGGCCTGCTTTTTCCTGACCTTGATTTCTGCATAAGTTACTTGCCATTTTGTCAGAGAAAAAATTGAATACTTACGTTTCAATTGCTGAGAATCCAGCGTAATTAACTGAGAAAAATAATAGATGAAACAACAAATAGTTAATATATTCAATTTCTTTCTTCTTTCGATATTTTTTGATTGATTGAAGGCGTGTAATGAAATATCTTGAGGAAATTTTTTTTTTATATTATATTCTGGAGCCCGCTGTAATGGTGGCCGGAAGTCAAGACTTACTATAACAGATGAGGCGCTATTGAAGTTAGGAAAAGAAACACAAGGAAGGTAAGCAGGTAGATGAGGATCTATTAGGACCTCAGTTTGAGGTATTGAAGCGAGTTCAGTTGAATTGTCACCAAGGTGATGTTTGATCCAGTATCATGGTGATTTATCAAAACAGAATCGAATTATAAAGAAACTAGCAGTCCGGCCCGGCTTCGCACGGTTGATGACGGTGTAACCATTTAAAAAAAATAAGCCATTTGTTGTACATTTTTTTTTCAATCGGTCAAGCCGTTTAGTAGTTGACGTACTTCAGATTTTTCACTTATTTTGATGATCATTCAATGGACAAAGAAGATATGATCCCTAATAACACACTCATGTCCCATGGACATCCTTAGGACGTCTTGTCGGGACATTTAGGAAGTCCATAGGACGTTCGAATTTGGTACCGTGGACATCCATTGGACGTCTGTGGGACGCACAAATGTCCCACTTGAGGACCAACTAGGGACGTCCTTGAGGGACGTCCCTGGGACAACAATCGAATACCTAATTCCTACAGTATTCCTCATCAAGCACTACAGAGGACATCATTAGGACATCCATAAGACAACCTATCAGCAACGCTGAGGGATATCAATTGGATGTCCATATAGGATGCCCAAAGGACGTACGAATTATTCTTGAATTTGAATTTTCTGGGTCCCTCTAGGACCAGATCTTGCATAAATGATTAGTATATCCGGTTGAGTTGATGGTCCGTAGAAGGTCACCTAAAAGTGTCCCAAGGATGTCCAATTGACCTACGTGAAAGACATTGACGAGGAGTACTTATAGCCTACGAGCAATCATTGGTCGGCGAGGTGTTAATTAACGTCCTCGCAGGGACAACATATTGAAAGTACCGACTGGGACGTCCATTGGACGTTATTTCTAGAACATTGGAAGAGTACAGTTCATGTACCAATTGGGACATCCGACGGATATCCCTAAGGGACATTCGTAGGATGAATTGTACCAAATAGGGACGTCCCTAAGACGTTGTGTGCTATTAGGGATGTAATTTGCAGAATAAGTAACAGAGTTGCAAATACGGAATTTCATGTTCATGCTGTTAAAACAAAGTTATTGAGAATTAAAAAAATTCTTTCCCTAGATCACCCTTTATCTCCCGAACCAGCAACATTCTTATCAGGCATGTTGGGCTAAATCTTAATATTTTGGAGATTACTATCTCAAGTTCAGAGATTCCCCATTCTTAATGAATCACCGTGTATATAAAATGAATTGTCAAAATGAAGAACGAACTTGCACGCTGCATTTTTTAGTTTTTAGGAAGAAATAGATTAGATACTATAGTGACCTGCTGAATGAAATAAGATCCATTTTATAAATCTCTATGTCAATTTTGATTGAAACATTATTTTTCTTCGATCTTCTGAGGGGGAGTTCATTGCCCCCATTATCCAGAGTAGCCTCGTGGTTCAAGCGTCATTACTCTTTCCACGTTGGATTGCCGGTAGGTGGGTTCGATTCCCACCACGACCGCAGAAATTTTTCTGATGGCCTAAGAAAGTGTTTGGGATCACACGTTGAGGTAAGACCCCCGGCCGTCATTCCTTGCTCGCTTATGTCTCTTGAAGACTTGAAACTGAGGGTTGCTCGTGAGGGGGCAACCGAATGATGGATAAGAACAATTTTAGAACAATCCTCCCTTGTATACGCGCCTGAGTATTTCACCTGAGGAAGCTTCTGTGTTAGCGAAACATGCCCTGTAATTAAACATTTTTTGGAAATCTTATCGTTTGTGAAGTTTTTCACATTTTACTAAGGATTATTTTTATCAAGTAACGGCCGAGTCAATTCAAAGAATAAGATGACAACATTATTGATGAGGCAAGTTTCTGATTGAAAACCCTATCTTTTGATAGGATGTCAATGCTCATGTTGATATATCAGATTATTAGATGAGCAAGCGTGTTTTGTATTTCAATAAATGAAACGAGTTCAGGTAATATTTTGTGGACAACTGTATATGTTTATACAGGGCCTACACTATATCTTTATATCGAGAATCTCAAACCAGGGTCGAGAATTTTTGAAACCAGAATAAATTATAGTGGAATGAAACACATTGATAAAGGGAGAAAATATGACAAAAATGAAAGAAAACATAAATTACAGTCGATCTGAGGTCGGGAACCCAGCGAGCACAAAAACATCTCAGAGATGTTAAAAGTACGAGATTTCGAGACATTGAACCTCCACTGCGATGTTCTGTTCACACATGAATAGAACTATTATAGAACAGCCAATATCCGCCACAGGCGGCAATTATCGAGATGTCCTTGATATGTCACAAAACTACCTTCTCCCTAGTTCTTTTTAAAGCCTTTTCATGGACACAACAGAACATTTTCAACGCGTCTTGCGCACATTAAATCGATGGAAAAAAACATTTTCGAGGTACTTTTCTGAAGCCTTTTGTCGAAATGAACTTTTGCATCAGGATTCCATTTCCGTTGAATGAAAAAATGCATTAAAAATATATTGAACATAAAAATATTTTCTTGATATGAAATTACCTTCTTAATCGGTTTCTGAGTAGTGCTTACTACACACAGACATATATAATTGGAAATAGGTTTCCCAATTTTTTAAATGTTCTGCACAATGCATAATTTTGCAACTGCGGAGAAGCTGATGTGTATTGATAAATTCGTACTTTTAAATATTGATTACACTGAGGCACCGAACAACACGTCTTGCATCTGATGGTCATTATTACATACTTAATAAGTCTTCTAACACAATAAACTTCACCAAATTCCTTTCTGTTCGTTAGCAGCGTGATGTAAGCGTGACACGCTGCAAACGCGAATGCCAATTGCGAACAAGAAGAACAAAATCGAAAACAAATCAAAATTCATCGTATTGTGACGTAAGCATGAGACGTAGTGGTGGGGCAAACAAAGAAAGGGCACAAAAGAACGAAAACAATACTTTCAATATCCTTCTATGACCTCTTTGGGAAGTGCATATTACGCCTCAAAAAACATCCTCATGCCTACATTTCTAAAACATCCCAAAACATCCCAGGGGTACCTCTCAGTTAGCAAACAAAGAAATGCCACAGAAGAACAAATAAAACAATACTTCAATATCCTTCAAAGACCTCTTTGGTCAGTACATATTACGTCTCAAAATAACATCTTCATGCCAACATTTTCAAACCATCCCAAAACATCCCAGGGATGTTTGTGCTCGCTGGGAAGTGGAAGGGGGTGAGCATTTAAAGGTTAATCTCGATTTCTGGCAAAAATAGAAGCCCTATGGAGAAATTTCAGGAAACAAAGTTGTAGGTAATAAAAAGATCTTAAACTCTTGTACATACACCTTTTTCACATAACCACAAAAGGACCCCGCACTTTTAGTACGTAAAATGGTTCTCGGTGAAATTTTCTGAATTTTCAGTATGTTGTGGAATTCGATGAACTGATTGAACCTGCAGAATTGTGAAGTTCTTTGATGAACAGATTCTGAGATACAGGGCGTTGAAGTTACAAATCGGTATTTTTCATTTAATTATTTTCTCGAAATTCAAAGATGCTAAGTACAATTTTTTTCGCTCATATCATCAACGAACCTCCATATTACTCAACATAATTCAGATGGTTCAGATAATGTAATTGTTTACAGAGTGAAACATATAAAAACATTTCAGTGATGTCTGAAAATTCGATGTAATAATGAAATATCGAAAAAATAATTCAGGCATGCATACTATTCTCATTCCATCATGAATCACAATTCATACATTTCATACAGGGTGATTTGAAAAATTGGTGACACCTAAGACCGATTTATTCATACACATCCTGTATATTCGAGTGAATTGTTAACCTCCCAAGAAAGCTGATACCGTATGAACATGATTTCGTTGAGATATATAGGGTGATCATGAAGATTTTCGATGATGAAAATGACAAAAAATCATGTTTTTTGAAATCACCCTGTCATTCATGATTAACTCGGTGAAATTCCCTAATTATTTTTTAATATATCCATCATTCGCTCCTCAACGCTGTCTTGAAAATTCAGTTTCCTATCATGACGGGTGTCATAGTTATTAATTCAGGAACTTACCATTTGCATGAAGAATTGAAGAAAATAAGTTTAGTGTTCATATACAGGGTGAACATTCAATGAAATCAGATCTTCAGGGAGAATCGAAAAGACAATGATATAATTATATACATCAGGGTATTTTTTGAAATAACAGAGTTGTTGCTAATTTTCGATAGAAGCGTCAACACTGCATTGACGAAAATATTTTCAACGAAGAGAACGTAATTTCAAATATGAGCATGCATATTTTCATGAATTTCTTGCGACTGATTCTCTATATTAGTGTAAGCTCGTCATAATAGAGAATATTCGTAGAGAATTGCAAAGAAGGGAACGAACAAATGAGATATCAAGAGGATAATGAAACTCCAAAAGGTACTTATTCAGTTTTTTTTTCACGAACATTTTTTTCTGTAAGTTATAATATCACTGCGTGTTTATGAATCTTAAGAAATTGTCTTTGTATTTTCGGTCAGGGTCGAATTTCCTGCTTATCCTTTCCCAGTCATCTGGATTATTCTTCAAGATAAACTTAGATGTCTTCTTTACTATCTTGATCTGTTGGTCTGTACATTTGGCACAATTATTGGTTATAGCCTCAGGGATATACACTGAAAAAAGAAATGTCAATTTTATTTCAATGAGAGGAGTGGGTATACCAGCAGGGTTGTCCAATTTTTATTGGCAAAATTTCGTTAATCGATAGAATACCCTATTTGAAGAAGTATAAGCATAAATAAACAATTGTCGTAAGACTATAAGTACACCTTTTCCAGTTGTATTTCAGGAATAAGCGTCAGTTGTATTACAGAGAATAGTCAATAATTGCACGAAAAAACAGGATTTGTTGCATTAATAGTTGTTTTTGTATCTACAGCGCGAAATGCTAGCCGAGTTAAAAAAATTATCGAGATGACCAAAGAATTTCGCGCTCGAGTTGCAAACAACATTTTTTCTACGAACGTGAAAAAATATAATTCTGAAGTAAAAATATGCTTAGCTTGATATAAAAAAAAAGTGTTGAGCTGGCTTAAAAGGCCTCCCCCTATCCTCCCTAGGTACGCACGATTTTCCACGAACTTAATAGGAATTGACTTTCGAGCTCTCCAAGAGATAAAACAAAGTTACCGTTGAACATTCAGAAATAAATGATTTCGTGGATGTTTGCTCCATTGAGGACCATGAAGTTGAAATATAAATATCTCATATATTTTACATAACTATGCGCGAAGTTGGTACTTCGCGCGTTTTGTTTTGTGCAAGGTATATCATGGTAACGTAGGAAACTGAAAAAAAGTGTCACTTCGCAATTTGTTATCAATGCGCGAACCTTGTCATTTATTGACGTTTGTAGAAAAAAAATCATTCATGCTTGAATTAGTTTTGTTGGACTGAGCAATATTTTGCTGAAACAACCAGATACATGATTATTTCATGGAAGCAGCTTGTTCAAATCAAGAATGTATAGTTTAATTGAATCAACAGTATAATCTCAATCCCATCAACAAAATATATGATTTTCTCAAAAACAAATTATGTCGATCCAAAATAATATTGATGTTGATTCAACTAAAAACATCTGATGAAATAATGATCATTTTGATGAGAATATATCTTTGAAACAACATATAAGTTTTCTTATACCGATGTAGCATTGAACTCCTTTCGAGCGGATCATTTGCTTGAATAGAGCAACGAAATATGTAATATATCAATGAAATAGTTTGTTCATTTACATTGAGTTGAACTTTCGGCCCTATATGGCGATCATTTCGCCTCGTCTATATGCCTGCGTCAAATTCATTATATACGTGAAGCCTGATTCTGAGCCTGATTCTGAGCTGAACAGAAGTAAAGACTGGAGATATATGCTAGAACACGACCATTTTCCTAGTTTAGTTTATTCTATTGATGTGAAATTTCAGAAAATACCTGAATTATACTGAATTTGGTTGAACAAAACAATTTGTCGAATGAAAATACAGTTTCTCTTGATTCAACGAAATATTCCATTGAATCAACAAAATATTACATTTAATCAACCAAATATTTCATTTAATCGACCAAATAATTCATTGAATCAAAATATTTCTTCGAATCAACCAAATATTTCATTGAATCAACTAAATATTTGATTGAATCAATATCTTGTTATTTTGAACCAAACAAAATGATTGTTTGAGCCAATTGAACAATTCATGGATGTGCTCGATTCAATAAGAGCCAGAGTTCATGCAAGACATATTTACTTGATTCGAACTTCAAATTCACTCTGACACAAAATAAAGATTGTCTCATTTCAAGATTATATTTTGTCGTGCATATATGACACTTTTATTTGCTTCATTCAAATAAAGTTTGCTTGATTCAACAATTCCTTTTTTTCCTGGTGAATTTCAGAAAGTGTCATTTGTATTTCAGAAAATATGAGTTAATATACAAATTAACGCTTTCTGAAATTCAATTGACTATTCTGAATTACAATTGATGCTATCTGAGATTGAATTCACGCTTTTTGAAGTACAACCAGTAAAGGTAATAAGACGCTCTGTTTTCGAGATACAGGGTGTTCAAGTTGCAAAACAATATTGAATTTTCTGTATCACCAGTCGGCGCTACTAAAACGTGAGGTCAATAGTCAAACATCCCAAAATTTTGTCGGGAAGCCCTATAAAGGCTCTTAGTCCTGTTTTATCGAAAATATTCGGAAAAAATGATGTAGAATATTTGAACAAATAGGAAACCTCAAGTTATGGAAAGACTTGACGTTTTTCTGCTCTCGATTTTACGACCATAATTCTTACATTTACGGAGAAGAAGATATCGTAGGAATAGGCCAGATGAGACGAACAGAAGAAGTATGTTTTTATCAGTTCCACCAACTCTGACCTCATGTTCAGTGGCGCGATTTGGTGGCCAATAAATGAATGTTAGCCCTCATTATTAGAAAACTGCTCATCAAAAATAAGAAATAATCTGGTGACATACTAGAGTTTCTGCGAGCAAATACATTCGTAGTATTTTTCAGCAGATATAATTACCAGTGTCGTAGTTAGAACAATATCAATGTTTTTTATCACATATCAAAGAGGTACATACATACCTTTCAATGGACAATTTTCTAATTTAATTTCGAAATATGGAAGAATGTTCAATTATATTGAAAAAATGCCTTCTTGTTAGAACACGACAAAGTAAGCACCGTTTTCGAATGAAACCGCGCGAAACAAATTCGATTGAGAATTTTGGTATAGATGTCGAATAATTCATATATTACTGCTACGGTTACTGATATGGCGAACCGAAACATATGTTATTTTGGTATGTCGGCACCATCTTAAAAATATTTGTACGTTTAATTTTCAATTTCAACACTCTGTATCTCGATAACAAACCTTAGGTATTACCAATATGCATGGAAACTTTTATTGTTATAAGATCTATCAATTCTTCTACTATAAAGTGGATCACGCTGTAGATATGTAGGTACTTGATTTGAAAAACAAATATTTTTATTTATAAATGAACTCATCTTTATCAGTAGGTATGTAATGATGTAATGCTTTGTGTGATTGTGATAATGATTTCGGGTAGAAGATACCTATTTATAGGCATATGTTTATTCAATATACATATTTCACCTCACTTTTGATAAAATGAGAAAATTTCATGAACCTATAACATGATGATTACGTGATCGAATAATCTCATTTGTTTCAATTTCAGATTTATTTCAGTTCGAAGATATACAAAATAATTCTCAATAGCCAGTAATACTGTACAGGGTGATTGACTTTATGGATTTCACGCTTTCAACATTCAATACCTCGAAAACTGAATGAGATATTGAAAACTTTGAAACAAAATCGTGAATCAGATGTTCTCTTTCGAACGGTGCTCTCCAAACATTATATGTATATCTCCATTCCATATACACGGGGGTTGTGGAAATGTTAATTTTTTTCGAATGGAACACTATACAGGGTGTTGCGAAATTCGACCGACAACGCTTGACAGGTGATAGGTAGACCTCGTGATTTCATAATCACTGAGATAGGGACATACAGTCTCCAAGTGTTCAGTTATCGAGATACAGGGCGTTGAAGTTAAGAAATAAAAATAGTTGTTTCGCAATATCTCAAGAATAATTTAATATAATGCATCCAAATTCGGTATATGGTTTCATCTTTGAATGGGTCATTTTTTGACCAGAGAGCCATTCCGGACATTTTATCTAGTGGAGCCCTACAGGGGGTTGTGGTAGCTTTTCGTCCCATATTTTCTACGCCACTGATTAAATTTCGATTATTTCCAACTCCTCGAATGAACTGTTCAATTTTGTTCACAAAATGTATCACCTCCAATTGAGCTGAAATGAACAATTTTCGAGATATTTGACCCAAAATAGAAGATTGCATAGTAATATTTCATCATTTTCAGTAGTAGAAATTTGCAGAAATATTTTTCTGGTGTTGAGTAGATTAGATACTATTCAGATCTCATCCTGTAGCTGAACAGAAATAGTTATTCCACGCTTAAAGGGAAAACAAACATTTTTGCAATTTTCTACAACTGAGGAAGATGAAAAATTACTATGCAAACTTCTATTTTGGGTCAAATATCTCGATAACTGTACATTTTAGCTCAGTGAAAGGTAATGCATTTTTTCAACATAATTGAACAATCAATTCGAGAAATTGGAAATAATCGAAATTTCGTCAGTGGCGTAGAAAATATGGGATGAAAAGTTATCATAACCCCCTGTATCGCACCTATGGATACAATTTTCGGAATGTCTTCCTGGTCAAAAAATAAACCATTGGAAGATTAAACCATATACCGAATTCGAATGCATTATATTAATTTTTTCTTGAAATATTGCGAGAAAACTATTTGAATTTCTCAACTTCAACGCCCTGTATCTCGAGAACTGAACACTTGGAGACCGTATATCCCTATCTCAGTGATTATGAAATCACGAGGGCTATCACCTGTCAAGCGTTGTCGGTCGAATTTCGCAACACCCTGTATATTATTGCATTTTGCAATAGTGCTTTCTGCTCACATCGAAAATATATAATTTCCATACATTCTATGGAGTAATACTGGGTGAATGGAAGGAATATGACTTGATTGAAATTGTGGTGGTAAAATTATCTAATCGAATTCAAGTTTGCTGTCAGGTGAACTGACAATCGATATTTTCGATTATCTCCTGGTTGAATTAGATGATTTCATGACAAAAATTCCAATTATTCTCAAGTTTTATTTCTTCGATTCACCCAGTATTACTCCATGGAATGTATGAAAATTGAATCAGGAGGAATAACTCTTTAAAAATATGCAATGAAATGAAAGATGTTTCATTAGAAAAATTCAACATTTCACCCCCCTCCCTCATCTCCGTACATGGAATGGAGATATTATGTTTGAAGGGCACTAGACAGCACCAGATATTCCATGAATCTCCCTATGATATTCCTTTTGGAATATTGGAATATTCTAGGATTAATCTGGAATATTCCGGAATATCTGTGGAATATTCTCTAAATATGCGAATGGGAATTCCTCAGATATTCATAGAATATATTCAAAAGAATATGGAATATTGGAATATTCCGATAAACATATCCTAAAATTAAAAAAAAAGACCCAAGTAGGGATCAAACTCGTGACCTCAAGACTATCAGAGCAACGCCTTGACCACTAGGCCAGTAATCGAATTTAATAAAATGTTGTACATATATCAATTTCTTGTGAGAGCGTTGTTCGAAATCGGATCATAAACACGTTTTGTTTCAAATTCCCCTTACATCTAATTGATGTTTGATACTCACATCTCTGAAATAATGATTGGTATTAATGTGTTGAGAAACATAGGAATATTCATGGAATATTTCATGAATATACACCACAGAATATTCAGTTGAGAATATTTCATGAATATACCGCACAGAATATCCAGTTGAGAATATTTCATGAATGCATACCCCACAGAACATTCAGTTGGGAATATTTCATGAATATGCAACAGAGAATATTCAGTTGGGAATATTCCTGGAGAATTTATACTTACCTGAATATTCCCTGAACATAAATATCCGACTATTCACTTTGGAATATTCCTTTTAGATGTTCCAGAGGCATGTATATATTCTAGGAATAATCGATGAATATTCGGAATATACTTCTCCTTTTTAGCATATTTAGATAATTTCATAGAATATTCTGTGCTGTCTGGGATTGCTCTCAAAAAAATATGATGAAAAGGTTTCATGAACATGGGTCCGAAAATGCCTTCGTTCCCGAGATATGGGGGATCCAAGATCTTGAAAAAATGGTTTTTCATTACAATCTCGAAAAAAATATTTCTCACAAGATGGTTTACATTTTAGAGAGGGTATTTAATTTTCTGTCTTTTTGTGCAATACATACAGGGTGGAGACTTTAACTGGAATGAATTCGCAACTGGGGGAGTGAACAATTTTTCTGAAAATTCGCGAGATACATCAACTTTTAAATGTATCTACCTACATTTTGCGAGCAATATGGAAAATATAACCCTTCAGGAGTAGCTGGAATCATCCCCATTATGTTTTTTTCAAATGCAACCCTATATGGCTTGCGACCCCTCATTGGAATGCTGGTTGAAAGAACAATCCGTAGCGTAGGTACTGATCATATTTCAGTTTGCGGTACGTTATTTGGAGGTCGCATGAAATCAAAATATAATTTCGAAGTTTGATATATTTCCATCAAAATATCGACTTTTAGAGACAGTGATTTAGGGCATCTCTACCAGCTTGCAAAAACATTTCGTTTAGAACTGTGGATACGACAAAAACAACAAAATTTCTTTTTGCGGCTCGATAAAAACACTGGAATACAATAGCAGATAGCAGTTGTGGCAAAAAATTGCCATCAATTGTTCAACGCACATTTTGAGCGATTGATAAGCTGAAAAAAAAGATGATTTTAAAATTACATTTCAATTTTATATACAAACTTCAAACGTATGAAAAACTGAAATTTTACTAATACGCTGGATTCCTCTTTCCACCAGCATTTCAATGAGGAGTCACAAACCATAGGGTTACTTTGAAAAAAATCATGTTGACGGTGGTTTCAGCTACCGCTGGAGGGATATATTATCTCGATATTGCTTGCAAAAGGGGGGTATATAAATACATTAAATCGTTGACGTATGCCGGGAATTTTTAGAAAAGATATTCACCTCCCTGCTAAAGAATTCATTTCAGTTAAAGTCTCCACACAGTATAATATCTAAGCATTCTTGTTTTTCCTTATAAAGTTCAGACATTGATTCAGAGATATATAGCGGGCTGTCTGTTTTTCTCGAAAAGGAAGCAAGATATGAAAAAAATAGCAGAGATTATACACTCCCCAAAATAGCAAGAGACAGGTATGTTGTATATTTGGTGGGTTCATCTGAATATTTGAGAAGAACCCGAAGAAAAACACAGGGTGATTTTTTTACAAAAAAAAAACGACCTCGATGTGTATGCCTCTGGAAATTCTGGATCAAATCTTATTGTTTCAGTTAATGTTGGATAATAATGTGTAAATGAATCATAAACATTTCATTCAATTTTATTTTATATTTATCCCCTATAGACTCTTGCCAGCACAACTCTGAAATACCTTGTATAATGAAGAAAGGTTATAATCGAAACAAATGATTTTGTTTCATTCCATAATCGAATAATGGAAGAGTTAATTTTTTTTATAAATTCTATCAAGTGAAATTTTGAAGACAGTGCATGGTTACATTATCAAAACTAAAAATATAACCAAAATACCACATTAATATTCATGTGGTGATGGGTTATATAATATGTATTTGATTTTTAGGTCACGGTTTCTTGACTATATTGGCAGCTGTATATTTTGATATATGAAACCCATTCGCAAAATTGTTTTTGTTGTTGTTTTTCCACAAGAAAAGATGGATAAAAATGAAATGATAAAATCAGAATGCCGATATAAATCATCAACACAATAAATTGGTACAGGTAACTTGGTTGAGTCTATAGATCATGATATGTCAGAAATTCTTACTCTGTGGACCATTTATCCTTCGTTCTTGGCTATCTTGGATTGAAAATCACAATGACTGCAAAAATGTATAAATATATTTTCTGTCTATTCATACAATTTGAGTTGAAATTTCAGAATTCACAAAGATTTTCACGAAAAAATTTAGAAAGGTGTAAGTTTTTGCAATTTGGTGATTTCTAATGAAACTTTTCTTTCCCCCCAAAAAAAGGATCATCCTGTATACAAGTTCTGTTTCCTCAGGTCAGGGTCATGCATTACATTTTCACAGTTTTGTATTTTACGCTATATTTTTTAATGAATCCCAACTTAGATACATTAGAAATCGTCAGAAAGCCTTCTGCATTGCTTTTATCAAGAACTAGATTTCAAAACATAAACGCTTATACACCTTTGCAATTTTGCACTATGCTACCACGCCTATCAGCTGCAGACTCTGTGACCCTTCTTAGGAAAAGTACATCATAACATATTTTTTTGAACTTTTAATCATCGAACAATCACCCCTGAGGTTAGTGTAGAATTATTACGATATCATTATTATATTTTCAATAAACACTGATAAAAAATCGTTATAAAAATCTCCAGAACCCTTCAGAGGTGACACTCTTTCAATAGTCTGTCGAGATGAAGTGTGCTTTAATTCTCCTATCTTTATTGGCGTTCTGCTACTCTTCACCGGTCAGTGAAGGAAATCACTTCTCCAATGGCGAAGACGATGTCTTAAAGTTCTTAGGACACGGAAGGTCGATTGTACTTTCAAAGAACGCCCAGAATCTTGAAAAGAACATCGAAATAGACGTTGGGGGGACACCTGGTGTTCATAAGAGGATCCACATTAATGAAGAAAACAACATCAAGAGTGTCGGTGTTCAATTACCTCAGAGAGCAGGAGAAAATAAAGAACAAGCAGGTGGAGTAGAAGGACTAAGAGATGGTAGAACTCCAGCTAACATCTTTCCTGGTATCTACCAACATTACCAAGGAGTAGCTGATGAACAGCCTTACTATAACCAACTAGAACAAGTAGAAGCAGGATCTGGATATGGTATTCAGCATGGAAACACTCCTAATGACTGGAGACAAAATGTAGCCTGGCAATGGAAACAGCCCTTTTATGCCAATAGATACGTAGTACCTCAATTCGATGAATCTCTATTGAACAAGAGGGTTCCAGTTGATTCTCAGTATGGTGGCCAGTACTATTCATCAGTGTATGGAAATGCTTTCAATGGTCAAAGGTATGACAATTACTAATGAAACCATAATAATAAATAGTAGTACAGTACAGTTGTGTGCATAAACAAGTAGTACGAGGTTTGTATGGTGTGAACCTGCCTATGATATTCCAGATTTCATTAAAAAGTAGTACACGTACACATTTGCCCGTTACAGACAAAAATAATTTGAATTTTGACACTACTGGTCAAAGTCGATAAGAAGATTAATCAAGATTGACAAGCTTGACTCACACTAGCCTATAACTTCTGTACGACTGGTTTATGCACCCAACTGTACATTCCAAAATATTCAAGGCTGATCTTGATCAATAGGGTCATAAAGAGGTACCTACATAATTTTTCATCTCTCTCACTATCATAATCTCATGAGGTGATAGAGACACAATTTAATTTTGTTGGCAAATATTTCCTTTCAATTGTGACTCTTGGAGGTTCTAAGTTCTTGATAATGCTTCATTGCCAAAGAATACCGTAACGTGTTTTGGTATAGATTTGTTTGACATATCTCGAGGTTGACGGCAAAAGGATATGTGCAGACTCAGCTCAGAGTTTGTCTATATCTGGTATTGCTAGTGATGAGAGTCACAACAATTTCTTTTTTTCTGTGGCGGGAAAAATGTTTGACATCTTATGTCTGTTGACAGTTTACAAAATGGCACTTTTCATGAATAACTTTTTTCGCGGATAGATAGGTGCATGCACTTTTGACGACTTTTGTTGTGGCACTTTCGGAAAATAAGCCAATAATACCGTCTCCCAGAAAGAACTGAAAGTCCTTATTTTCAACTTCCATTCCACTTCGCGATTACGAGCCACTGAGTTCGCAATTTTTTAAAATCAAAACACAGAATTAAATGGACACATATTCGATAACTTCAGAAGGTTTCCATAGCAACAAGGAAGATGCCTACAAAAATATAGCTGCAAACACAGGTGTACTACCAGTTAAAAACTCCAAATTTCACATCTTTAATTTTCTGATGTTATTATAATTCGTAATATCTTCTCAATATTGAATCCTTGTTTTTCCTGTCACAGAAAAAAAAATGAGAATCATGTGATATTTTTGTATTCCTCTGGATGAAAACTAATGGGTAGGTACATTTTGTAGGTTTTCACTCAGATTGAGGGATCATATTCGTTTATCATATTGGACTTTGTTAAAAAGAGAGAATTAGTAGGTATTTAGATCAGAAACATCAAATGATGGATCGAAACCACATGGAAATGAATTTAAGACAGATTTACTTTTTCGTTTTATCTTGATTGTTCTGACAGACATATAATTTTCAACTGCCTCTCTCAATTGTTTTCCAATGAATCCAATCTAGGTGTCATGAGGAAAAAATTATGTACCTACCTACCTAGTAACACGTTACAAAGTAGATACCATTCGTTATAACTCTTTTATATTGAACAGTAAGAAAAAACTAATTTTTTGTATGTATGTAATGTGTATGAATTCAAAATAGAACACCCTATATATTTCCTCACAATCGGAAAGACCTTCTGAAAAGCTATCCAAGAGATATAATTCCTTATATTCCTTATTCCTCAATTCATAGGCATCAAAATCTAACAGAGTTTGATCGATTTTTGAACGATTCTCTAGAGAAGAAGCAAAAAAGTTCAAACTCATAGATTTTCCCAATGGCTCCCGTTCGTTTTGGTCCCTCGCTAAAGCAGTGTATATATATAATCAAGGCTAATAGTTCATTCCTACCACTTTCTAAAGCCGACGGCACATTGGCAACAAAATCGCAGGAGAGAGCGAACATTTTTGCAGAGATGTTCGCAGCAAACTTCATTCTGTCTTCCCAGGGAAGAGTGCCGCCAGACATTCTATTCCACCCGTTGAAAGTCGAATGCCTGAAATTTTCTTTCGGCAACGCACTATCAGACTCTGCTCGGTCTCAAAACGAATAAGTCTAATGGTCCTGATGGAATTCCACCCATATTCACAAAGAATGTGAATCAGAATCGACGCCGCTTCTCTGCACTCTATTCACCATCTCCTACAAGTCTGGTATTTTTCCATCTTGTGTAACCAATTCATAAGAAAGGGAACAAAAGCCAGCCCAACAACTTTAGGCCAATTGCCCTGTTATCACTCATCTCCAAGGTGATGGAGAAATCCATCAACATTGAGCTCATCAAATATCTGGAAAGCCCAGGAATAGACAATATGGATTTCGCCACCGAGGATCATTATAAAAACATGGGGAATCTCTAGCTGTAGCGTTAGATATATAGAAGGCATTCGACCGTGTTTGGCACCAAGGACTGCTCCACAAATTACCATTATACGGCTTATCACCTCAGCTATGCCATCACTCATCGAGTTTTCTTTCAGGCAGATTGTTCGATATGGTGGTGGACGGAGTATCGGCTGATACCATTGCTATCAATTATGAGTTCCACAAGGATCAATTTTGGCACCAACATTGTTCCTACTTCATATCAACGATCTATTGCGAGTAACTACTTGCTCTATCTTTGCAGACTATAGTACTCTCCATACTGTGTTAGAATTTCCATTTCTTACCAGTAAATTAAGAACTTACGACGTAGGGAGGTCAACTTTGTCGCTGAAGATCTTGCGGAAATTACAGCCTGGGGAACCAACAACAACCAAGTTGAATTCAACGCCACCAATACTTTTAAGCCTGTATTTTCTCTAGAAAGGCAGAACTCAGTATGCCTGATATAACATTGTCTGGTTAAATCATTTCCTCCAAGACCTCCCTATCTATGCTCGTTATTTCCGTCAGCAATACGCTCTCATGGGAAAATGATGTCCGATTCATTGCGAAAGCTGCCTCTCAAAGACTCAGATTCTTGTTCCGTGCGAAAATCTACTTAACACCTTAACAGATTTTCATGATGATCTACGAAGCACAGAGATATGGCCAGTTTTAGGATTCTGTTCTCATGTATGGGGTTCAGCACCCTTTCGTGCGCTCCAAGCGATAAAAAAACATACGCTGATGCTCATAGATTCCATCCAGAGGAAAGTAATACGCCTGGTGGGTGATGCCACACTCACTCACTCTTTGATCTCATTAGAACATCGTAGAAAAATCATCGATCTTCCACTATTCTATAG